TGAAAGACGACAGAGTGTAGCAGAGCGGATCGCCAAGTGCCAGCTGTAGAATACGGTCACTCTACCATTGACCTGGCTCCCAACAATTCAGACGTCTTCATACCAACCACAGTTCACACGGCAGTCTTGGTGTAAACTTGACGGTGCAGATGACCACAAAAGAGCAGGACTGGACGTACTAACGGTGTCTCCAGAAAGTAGTGGTGTCAGAGGGTCGTTGAGGCGGGGTGGCTTGTTTGCAGAACAGGTGCATCTCGTCTTCCATCATTGCTCACGTCGTCTCAGGCGTTTCTTGATGTCACCAGGTTGCTAGGCCGTAAACACCAACTGTGTATACCCTCGTACCGCTGACTTTAGGCCGAAGGAGGCAATTATGCGACCTATGGCGAGTCCCGGAACTATGTAGGGAGACCGTGCCTTCCACCTGTAACCGTCTTAGTTCCACTTCCTTGTTACTCAGACGACGTAATCATTAATCTTCCAACGAAAGCTCTTGAGTATGCTACTGGTTCGCCTATTCTCTTGACTTCTCCTTCAACACTGCTGGTATGGCTGCAGTCTTGTCGACGATGCAGCTAGTGGGTAGTAGTGACCTCGAGACAGCTACCCACGGTGTTAGACGTTGACATCCGGTGACTGCGTCAATGTGGACATCTCGCTGGTTCCTGACAACCTCGTTAGTGACGTGAGGCGTCGGCCGGGTGACAGTCACCCATCTCAAAGTAACTGATGTGTGGGTTACTGGGTCTGGTGGGGGGGGGGGGGTTGTGTAACGTGCCTCCTCCCTCGGTCTTTACATACAAGGGTTCACGTGTGGCAGGACCAGCTGGTTTGGTGTACCAATCAGACCTGGGAACAGACAGACACAACATGGATATAACTCTGGGTTTGATGGAGGTGGAACCCCAGAGCACGGTAAAGGTTGCTACCCGAGTGAAGTACAAGTAGTAATTCACATTATTGCCTCTACAGGAAAATCTAATGAATACTAAACTTTACTAACCAAGGAAGTTACTTTACTGTTACTGTATAGCGCAAGATCTCGTTACCATAGGGCGACGAGATCTGCACCTGACTACTGAGAACAGATGACAGAGGGTCATTCTCATCCCCTGACTCGTCGGTTAAGCCATGGGTCAGCACTGCTGAGTCAGGAACTAGACTCGCTGAAGGCAGTTCTAATTCCTCTCTAGCATGATACTGTTTTAATTCATTTACATGAATTGTCCTTTACACCTGGTCCTCGAATACTCCTTTTATGACAAGATTAACCGGCCCCACTCTTTTAATTACTCTATACGTACCCCCGCCACCTAGGAGCTAGTTTTCTACTCTGATTGGCGGGTGCAGCCTCATTCACTCTCAACACGAGGTTACATTCATTCAACTCTAGAGGACACACTTTCTTGTCATAAAAATGAGCATAACGATTCCGTGCTTTCTTGGACACTTCAGCCGCAATATTCCAAGCATTTCTCATTTTTCCAAGGACCTCTGAAGGATAGTCCTCCCCGTATGCAATATTATGTCTGTTAAGCAGACCTGAGGGAAAATTGCATGAATGACCAGTAAACAAAAGAAGCGGTTAGGTGTTAATTGATTGATGGATGGCAGTATTCAAACCTAACTTAACATAGGGTAGGTGTTCATCCCATGAATTTGCATCATGTTCAGCAAGGATTGCAAGCATATCCTTGACTGAACGATTAGTACGTTCCGTCATGCCGTTTGCTTGTGGGTGGTAGGCTGTTGTAAAAGCCGAAGTTATCTCTAAAATTCTACAAACTTCCCTAAATATATTCCCATTGAATTCCTGACCCGGTCAGAGACTAAAACCTTAGGACGTCCGAAAACAGTAACGAACCTACGCAAGAACGCATGTGCAACCGTACGAGAATCCTTCTGAGGTAATGCAACTAGTGTAGTGTACCTAGACACATGGTCAACAACTACCAACACGTATCTGTTACCCGAATGACTGTGGTGTAAGTCAATCAAATCGGCCCCCACACGATCTAATGGTTCAGGAATTTCAGGAAATTCCTGAAGTGGGGCTTGTACCTTAAGGGTACCTCTCCTCGTCTGGCAATGAGGACAGGACTTCACATAATTGATTACCTCAGGAAGTAACCCTGGGAAATAAAATAGAGACTTTGCCTTTAAAGGAGTTTTAAAGACACCCAGATGCCCTGCAACTTTAGATGCATGTGCAAGCTTTAACGCCGATGATCGCAACGCATCCGGAATAGCTAGCGGGAATACTGCCCTATTTTTTTGGCTATTTACATAATACAGGACGCCCTGTTTCATTTCAAAATCATGAATAGGTAATTTTCTGTTCTCTGAAGGGTATTTCCCCCCTTCCAAATACTCATTAATATCTTTCCACCTAGGTTCGCTCATCTTGTATTCTCTCATTTTATCGGATGGAATGGATTCATTATTCTGGTTTATTTTAATTGACACGATATTTCTGCTCAAAGTATCCAGCACAACATGTGCTGAACCAGGCTTATACAAAATCTGGAATGAGTGGGCCGAAAGTTCGTGAGACCAGCGCGACATTCGTGGGCATTTAGTGCGCTTTTTAAAAATGTGTGTTAAAGCACGATGGTCGGTGTAAATTACGAAATGGCGCTGAAATAGGTATGGCTCGAAATACCTAACTGACTCCACTACTGCCAGTGCCTCCTGATCCGTGGCCGAATATCGAACTTAAGGTCCCTTGACCTTTCTACTGATATAGGCCACCGGATGGGGGAAATTATCCGCATCTCACTGAATTAAACACCCGCCAATAGCTATACCGCTGGCGTCAGTGTGCACCTCCCACTCTTTATCGAAATCAGGAATGGCCAGTTCCGGTGTCGTAATTAGTTGGCTCTTCAGTTTCCGATAGACTTCGTCATATTCAGGTTTCCAACCGAACTTCACATTCTTCTTTGTCAAATCAGTCAGGGGTGCTAAAATGCCAGCGAAACCCGCCCCCAAAACCCTACGCACGTCCTTTGCTATGTTTGGAATAGGCATGTCAGCAATGGCGCGTCAGGTCGAATACCATCTGGGCACACCTGGAACCTCAAAAATTTGAATTTCTGGGCCGCCAGGGTACACTTCTGGACGTTCAGCTTGAAACGTGCGCGATCTAACAAAGTCAAAGTCTCAGTTAAGTCTTGTAGGTGTTCCTCAAACGTCCTGGAATATATCACAACATCATCCAGGTACGCTAATGAATGCTTTCCCAAGACTGGGATCGAGTATGAAGGTAATGGCCCTCTGAAATGACGAAGGTGCTGTTTTTAACCGAACGGCATCCTATGGAATTGATAAGTGTGCTTACCATCCGAGAACGCCGTTTTGTCTCTATCTGCTCTGCAACGGGAATCACCCAATACGCCGATTTCGCGTCAAGAGTCGAGAAATACTTTGCAGCACCAAATTGATCGATTATCTCCTGTATTCGGGGCAATGGATACACATATCACACTCAGTTATTTCGTTTACCTTCCGGTAATCAACACAGAAGCGATAACTACCAACAGGTTTGCGAACTAACAAAACAGGAGAGAGCCACGGTTACGTACTAGGCTCTAACACGCCTTGCCTGAATATTTTCTTGCACTCATCCTTGATGATATTCTTTGCCTGTTCCGGCAACCTCCACTGCCTTGTGTACACAGGCAAATTATCACCATTTGGAATGGTATGCTCTATCCTATCAAGGAAACCAATCTGGTCATCTTCTGTTGCAAACAATTTCGGGAATTTTCGCAAAACTCCTCTCAACAACTTTCTATCTGCATGTGGAACATGTTGCAAATCGAGTGCTGAAATTAACTTCTCTATATCTTTTACGTTACTTGAAACATTTATCTCATACTTTAATTTTAATGGTGTCTTATTGTCTATCATATTTATAGCACTACATTGTGCTGTGATGGTTGGCGTCTCAGCTGACTCGTGGTGAAAGATTTCTGTGTCATCCACCATATTTCCCTGAGATACCCTTTTACCTGCCCTGAAGCGAAAAGCCTTGTGTGAGAGATTGACAACAGGAATGAGTGCACCTTTATCAAGCACTACAATTAAATGATGGAGAATTAATAAACTATCACATCTCCCAGCCACCTGAAGGGTGGTACCTGGCTGGATGTGACGTCCCAAGGTTACTTTAATAAATTTAATAGAATGTGGTGGGCAACTTTGCTTGGTCAATGCATGCAATCCACATGACCTCTTAACGGTGTCTGGAAGAGACTTAGAAATCAATTTTGGGTAGTGCGCATCATATATCTGCTTCCACTTAATTGAAGCTACAACTGGTGGATGGTCGATCATCTCCACTTGGTTGGAAGTCTGTCCCAACTGCAACCTGCAGTTCCTAGCCCCTTTTTGTGCAGACAAGGAGTAATCAAACTGAGACAGAAAATCGGTCCCCATTAAGATGTGACAAGGAAAATCAAGGTTCTCAACGATCGTACATGTGTGAGGTTGCAATTCCCCATTAATTTCAAAGTTAATGGTACCGTGACCTAAGATATCAATCTTTTCCCCATTAATTGCTGTTAGTGTCTTCGTACAATGCTTAAGGCGTGCATGTTTAAATTTGCTGAAGGCTGACTTTTTAATTAGAGTTGCCTGGCTTCCAGTGTCAACAAAAACTGTCAATCTCACATCTTCCACTTTTACTTCAAAAGTAGGCCTACCATCACAAGGGGACAATCTTTCATTCTTTTGTTCTAACATCGGGACAATCCATCCGTAGGTGTCCGCGCTTCCCTCACGAATAACACGCCCGCGGGTCCCTATTGGTACCCGGTGCAGGGTGGCCCGAACGTGCAGGTGTGGTCTGCTTCCTGCCTGACAAACCCGCGCCGCAGTCATTCGTCGTTCCTCCCTCTTCTTTACGTACCGCCTCAACATATGGAGACGAGTGAGCCCCAGTCCTCTCTGTTCTCATCCCTATGTCCAATACTGTGGCGGCATGTTGGACGAGTTCCTTAAAACATAATAACGCTCCATAATAAACGTCCCATGGTAGGAGGTAACGCTCTACAGAACAACTGCTTAGCTAATCGTTCTGCCAGACTCTCATCGTACCCCAGCTCCTGGGTAAGGTCGTCAACCCAACTCATTATCAACGTCCCGAAATCCTTTATTGTACTGCAGTCGTCCCTCTTATGTGACTGAAGGTATACCTGAGCTTCATCTGCCGACACTTTCTCCTTATACCTGTCCCTAATCGCCTGGACAAATTGAGGCAATGTCGACAGGTGTCGAAACTCTTTCAACCTCGCCAGTGCGCCGGCTACGTCCACGCAAACCCCCAAGGCGAGAGTAATTTTCAGACCATCATTTGGGACAGCCCCCAGCATCGCACTAATCTTCCACAGCCAGTCCTCCACCCGGCGGTTGCGTTCCATCTTGTTGGACGGCAACTCCGTACCTCTGAGTGTCGGCAGAGTCATCTTAGGAATCAGACTCATAATTACCGGTGTCTGAAGCGAGGTTACTGGAAGTGGGTGGCCCTTGGGGTTGGTATAGGGATTGAGGCTGGGGTTGAGGCACCTGGAGTTGAAATTGGTATGGGGTGGTCTGGGGTAGGGGTTGGGGTTGGGAAAGGCATTAGGTGTTCTGGGGTTGGGGTAGGGGTTGAGGTTGGCGTTGGGTTGTCTGAGGTTGGGGTATGGTGTGAGTGGCTTAGGGTTGGAGTATGTATTGGGTGGCCCGGGGTTGGGGTGGGGGATGAGGGTGGGATTGGGTTGCCTGAGGTTGGGGTATGGTGTAGGTGGCATGGAGATGGGGGCCTGGGGTTGGAATAGGTATGGGGTGGTCTAGGGTAGGGGTAGGAGTTGTGGTTGGGGATGGGTTGTCTGAGGTTAGGGTATGGTGTGGGTGGCTTGGGGTTGGAGTAGGGGTTGAGGTTGGGGTATGGTGTGCGTGGCCTGGGATTGGAGTAGGTATTGGGTGGCTTGAGGTTGGAGTAGGTAATGGGTGGTCTGGGGTTGGGGAAGGGGTTGGGGTTGGGTTGTCTGAGGTTGGGGTATGGTGTGGGTGGCCTGGGGTTATGGTTAAGGTTGGGTTTGGGTGGCCTGAGGTTGGGGTATGGTGTGGGTGGCCTGGGATTGGAGTAGGAATTGGGTGGCCTGAGGGTTGGGGTAGGGGTTGGGGTATGGTGTGGGTGGCTGAGGTTGGGGTTGGGTTGCCTGAGGTTAGGGTATGGTGTGAGTGGCCTGGGGTTGGGGTTTAGGTTACGTTTGGGTGGCCTGGGGTTGGGGTATGGTGTGGGTGGCTTGGGGTTGGGGTTTGGGTGGCCTGAGGTTGGAGTAGGTGGGGTGGTCTGGGGTTGGGGTAGGGTTGGGGTAGGGGCTGAGGTTGGGGTTGGGTTGCCTGAGGTTAGGGTATGGTGTGAGTGGCCTGAGGTTGGTTGAGTGGCCTGGGGTTGGGGTTTAGGTTGGGGTTGCCTGGGGTGGGTGGCCTGGGGTTGGGGTAGGGGTTGAGGTTGGGGTAGGGGTTGAGGTTGGGGTATGGTTTGGGTGGCCTGGGGTTGGAGTAGGTATTGGGTGGCCTGAGGTTAGAGTAGGTATTGGGAGGTCTGGGGTTGGGGTAGGGGTTGATGTTGAGGTTGGTATAGGAGTTAAGGTTGGGGTTGGGGTTGAGGTTGGGGCTGGGTGGCTAGAGGTTGGGATAGGGCGTGAGGTTGGGGTTGGGTGGCTTGGGGTTGATGTTGTAGTGATGGGTGAGGTATAAGTGGATGTTGTGGTAGTGGTGTTACTTGAGGTAGTTCCTGCTGTGGGTGTGGTTCATGTACTAATTGAACAGGTTGCTGGTCATGTTCCCTACTTAACGGAGTGGGACGTCCTACCAGGCTAAATGATGCCCTGTCCAGCACCCTGTATCCCCTGTTGGCATGGCGTCGATGTTGTAGGTGGGGGAATCCAAGACGGCACCCCCCCCCCCACTCATGGAACGAATCCTCTAATGATTCTCCACTCATATCTACTACCGTGTCAGTACTGGAGCGTGAAGACACCCTAGACTCCCCAGTCATACCCAGAACCCTGACACCGTAGCCTCAGCCCCACTGACTCCACCTGTAACACCAGCTCGGCTACCTGAGCGGTCCACCAAATCCCCGTAGTATCAGAAGGGGTGCCCTCCTCTAAGTGTGCACCCCCCATGGCCCCTACTGACTGGTCCCTGTCTGGGTTAAACATTCCCTGTAATTCCCGGTGCACCATGCCTCTCGTAACTATCATTCACCCTCACACACGACCCGAGATCTCACTACAACCGAGATCTACACAAATAACACAAATAAAAACTATCTAAATTCCAAAAATAAGAATACGTCGATTATTCGAGAGAATCGCTTAAGTGAAACTAATTAATGAAGGCGCCTGCCCTGCAGCAGTACCAGATCGTGAAATAATCCGCGGTCCTTTTACCGAAAACTGAGTCGTTTACTTTTAAAATATTAAAGAATCTTATTTTTATAAATCAATTAAACAAAATATAGTAACTATCGCGCTGCACTCGTGATAGACTAATAAAGATTATTTACTGTGCTCGTACATTAGACGTACTTGAAGTGAACAGCATGGCGACTGATTATTGAAGGAGTGGGTTCAGCCGCGCTAAAAACACAAGTCCCGCGTTTTTTTCGCTTAAACGATTAAAAATTAAAATTGTATATCTGAAGGAAAAATAAAAAAGTGACTTTATTAACATGCTCTAACAAATAATACAGACACCCAGGACATGCATCTGTCTAATTAAATCGAATTTTCACCTAAAAAACTGTGTTTACTCCCAAGCTGGACTCTGAAAAAATTCACAGCGCGATTTTTCTCGAAAAATCACGTAATTCGCCAAAAAATATAATAAACACCACCAGGGGCCGGATTCAGGAAGGTACTTACGAAGGTAAGTACTCTTAGCTAAGAACGTTTTCCATCTTGGCACCTTCGTGGCGGCTACGTCCATATTCAAGTAGCTACACTAAGTGGAAAAACCTTCGTAAGTTCATTCCAGAATTTAAGTGTGGTTTCGACCACTCGTAGCTTTACTGGATATAAGTAATTTTTTCTCTACTACATAACACTGGGATCGATTTATGATATTGGAACATGACCAAAATATTATAGCTGGTGAATCTAGTGAAGAGGAGTCCTTCGTGTTAGTTATATATGCATTCTCTGCTTGAAACTTGAAGTAAATATGTGTTTGATGATAGTAGAATTAGTTGTATAATAGCAAGATATTATACAAGTAGTTATTAAGTAAATAAACACTGGTGAACATGAAATAGGAGAGAAGGTGATGAGCCCTGCCTGATGGGATCATTTACTATCACCAAATGCCCCTGTTCACCTAGTAGTAAGGGTGTACCTTAGCTATACATACCCATTTCTAATTTATTTAGTTTGGTATTATTTTGAAATTAAATCTGGGTGAGACATAAAATAAAAATATGCTGCACAAATGATGTTAGGTAAGGAGAAGGGTATATATATATATATATATATATATATATATATATATATATATATATATATATATATATATATATATATATATATATATATATATATATATATATATATATTATTAAATATGACCGAAAAAGTAAGATTAATAATTCTAACACGAATTTTCTCAATCTTTCGTACATTACGCTTCACTGTTGGAGGTAAATCAAAAATCAATTCTCCAAAATTCATTTTTATTTCTAGTCTGACGCGACACGGGCGCGTTTCGTAAAACTTATTACATTTTCAAAGACTTTAGTTCACAAATACACAACTGAATAGAACTTACGTATCTCCGATTTTATATCTACATTTGAGTGAGGTGGAAGGGGTGATGTGGCATTAACACAAGACAGAACAAAGTGTGGTATTAATAGGGTATTAATTTCATCAACACAAGACAGAACAAGAGTATTAATAGGGTATTAATTTCATCAACACAAGACAGAACACGAAACAATGGATATTGAATAGAAGTGTTTGTAGAAAGCCTATTGGTCCATATTTCTTGGTGCTTCTATATTGGAGCGGAGTCTTGAGGTGGGTAGAATATAGTTGTGCAATAATTGGCTGTTGATTGCTGGTGTTGACTTCTTGATGTGTAGTGCCTCGCAAACGTCAAGCCGCCTGCTATCGCTGTATCTATCGATGACTTCTGTGTTGTTTACTAGGATTTCTCTGGCGATGGTTTGGTTGTGGGAAGAGATTATATGTTCCTTAATGGAGCCCTGTTGCTTATGCATCGTTAAACGCCTAGAAAGAGATGTTGTTGTCTTGCCTATATACTGGGTTTTTTGGAGCTTACAGTCCCCAAGTGGACATTTGAAGGCATAGACGACGTTAGTCTCTTTTAAAGCGTTCTGTTTTGTGTCTGGAGAGTTTCTCATGAGTAGGCTGGCCGTTTTTCTGGTTTTATAGTAAATCGTCAGTTGTATCCTCTGATTTTTGTCTGTAGGGATACCGTTTCTATTAACAATATCTTTCAGGACATTTCCTCTGTTTTATGAGCTGTGGAAAAGAAGTTCCTGTAAAATAGTCTAATAGGGGGTATAGGTGTTGTGTTAGTTGTCTCTTCAGAGGTTGCATGGCTTTTCACTTTCCTTCTTATGATGTCTTCGACGAAACCATTGGAGAAGCCGTTATTGACTAGGACCTGCCTTACCCTACAGAGTTCTTCGTCGACTTGCTTCCATTCTGAGCTGTGGCTGAGAGCACGGTCGATATATGCGTTAACAACACTCCTTTTGTACCTGTCTGGGCAGTCGCTGTTGGTATTTAGGCACATTCCTATGTTTGTTTCCTTAGTGTAGACTGCAGTGTGGAAACCTCCGCCCTTTTCCATGACTGTTACATCTAGAAAGGGCAGCTTCCCATCCTTTTCCATCTCGTAAGTGAAACGCAGCACGGAACTCTGCTCAAATGCCTCCTTCAGCTCCTGCAGATGTCTGACATCAGGTACCTGTGTAAAAATGTCGTCAACATACCTGCAGTCTGTTGGACGACATATTCGACCTCGAGACACAAAAGAAGGTCACTACCAAAGATACCTTACAAGCAGAACTTATTGCAGAAGGAGGAAAGAATCGAGGCAACTACAGAAGCACCATACTGTCCCCCGAGCTTAAAGCGGCAGCTAAAAGCCTTCGTGAGAACAAGGAGATAGTTGTCAGGAGAGGTGACAAGTCGCCAATATATGTCATTCTTAAAAAAGACGAATATCTGGCGAAAATGAACATCATACTCTCTGACCAAACTAAGTTCCAAAGGGTAACGAAGGACACTACAGCCGAATTAAAAGCAAAGGTCAACAAACTGATCGAAACTGTGAACGCCAAGAAATCCGGACTCCACCTGCCAAAGATCATTGGGGAATATAAACCTGGATATGCGTATGGAAATGTCAAGACGCACAAGCCTGGTAACCCACTTCGGCCAATCATTAGCCAGATACCCACACCCACGTACAGATTGGCGAAGCGACTCAACGGCCTGCTGACTCCTTACGTTCCTTGCGCCTTCAGCCTGAAGTCTCCAAAGGAATTTGTTGACTTACTGCGGGGCACACGGGCCACAGGGATAAGAGCCTCGTTGGACGTAGAATCGCTGTTTACCAACGTACCTGTGGACGAGACAATCGGAATGATAGCCGACAGAGTGTATCGTGATCCAGCCTGTACTCCTCTTGACATACCAGAAAATATTCTGAGGAAACTACTCCAAGCTTGTACTAAAGAGGCACCCTTCTTGAGCCCGGATGGGCACAT